TTTTTTATGAGTCCTAAAAAACTGCGTAGAATACCGCTAACCGTGTGAAAAAAGGTTCATTCACTTAAAAGTTATTGCGATTTGAAAATTCAAAAAATAATGTTTTATCAAACTTTTGAGCTCGAAGAGCTCAAAAGTTTACAAAGTCTGTTTTTTTTGAGCTCGGAGAGCTCAAAATAATACACAAATTGTATTTATGAGCTCGAAGAGCTCAAAAACGTCTCCAGTGCAATTTCAAGCGTTTAGGTATAGAATTGGCGGGAAGTTGCAGGGATGGCCTTCAGGGTCAACCGTTTTCCTAATTTTTTTGATCGGGAAAGTAAAGAAATTTGAGGATCAGTTTTTTTTTTGTTCTATTAAGTATACATTGATAATTAATATCCTAAATTTTCATTAAGAATTATTAAATCGTTAAAAAGTTATTAACATTCTTGTTCAGCCTTAAAAAAATTCCCCCTTTATGGTCACATCGATTTCTCAAAAACGAGTCATCCGAAAAAAAAAAATTTAGTTGCGTTATAATTTGTATGAATGTGCTTATCATTGCACGTAGCCGATTTTTTTTATTTTGTTTCGAAAAAAAATGGCGACCGATTGAAAATTTTTTCATATTTTTGGTCGTTTTTTTTTGGATTCAAACCGCCTTAAGAAATCTTAAAAATCAAAATTTTCAAAATCGGCTAAGTGCAACCTTAGTCACTGCAAATACGAACACAATACAAAAAAATTCTGAAAATCGGTTTATATTTGTTTAAGTTATCGATGCGACCAGTTTAAATAAAGTCGTTTTGAGGAAAACGCGTTCAAAATTTGTAGTCTATTTCGCTTTCCGTTACTCTCAATCATGTGGTTCCATGATAATTGATCCTCGAAATTTGATACCACGATAATTGATCCCCGTAGTTTTATCCCACCGTCAAATGATCGAGTCCTGGGCTTTACGAGGGTTCTTCCTCCGTATCTCTGGTGGTGTCCATGACTTTTTTGATCATTTTATTGACCGTTTCAACTCGTATTTTAGTGGAATTGACATTTTCGTCGGATCGCTGAGCGAAAACGGTTGGCCTCCCTACTCTCACTAAAATGATTATAATTCCGGAAATATTCGAAATTTTGATCTAAAATTTTATACACATATTTTTAAATGTATAAACTTTGATTTTATGAAGAAAAAAATTTTTTTTTCGATTCGTCACAGTGACTGTTTCCCTTAATAAAAAAATTAGGAAACGGTTGACCCTAAAGGCCATCCCTGCAACTTCCCGGCTAATTCCATACTTAAGCGCTAAAAATTGCACTTATTACGTTTTTGAGCTCTTCGAGCTCAAAAAAGTTACTTTCGATACATGCGCAAAGGTAGGGATTCTAACGGCTTGAAGTGACGTCACGAGTTTGAGGCTATGGGCGCATTCTTATCAAGACCGAGTTAGTTATCCGGCCGAGCGAAGCGAGTTAAAAAATAATTTGACTCATCTATAGCATATTTTAGTAGTCGTGTAGGCATGCAGAGACAAATAAAGAGAGAGAGAAGTTATTTTCGATACAAGTGCGAGATAAGTTAACTAAACTATAGATTGTCAGAAATCGTATAGTTTGCGCCCTCTGCATGTTGCTCGAAAATCCAACTTTCGCGGTTGATATGTCAAAAACATTTTTTCTGAAATTTTTTGTGAACGATATATTTCGAATAAATCAACCGATTTTGATGCGGTTTCCGGCAATCGACGTTGTGTTTTGAGATTATAAAAAATTAAAATTTTTTTGAAAATTTTATTTTTGAGATTTCTTAGAATCTACATAGCTCTATATTTACATAGATGAAAGCAATAACTTCCTGATTTTTTGAAAATCGTTGATTTTCATATAAGATTCAATTTCTTTAATATTCCAAGTAATTGTACAATTATGAGTTACTACATATTTTTGGGCATAATCAATCAAAGATTTATTTTTACCTCTACACAGTCATCATTCATCATGACAATATTTTTCTTATTGTTAAAAATATCTATTTCGGTCCAAAATTTATCTTTTGAGTTCAGAATAAATTTTTTTATTCAAAGCAAAAAGAAATTTTTGAACTACATATTTAAAATAATTGTTTCAACTGAGGAAAATTTTCTTGAGGCAAGTAACGTTTTTTCCACTTGAGAACTAAGACGGTTATCTTATCAAGTCATGAAAAAATTTCTTGAGCTCAGTATTTCTTTACCTGCTTATAAATGATTCGATTTTATCCGAGCTAGGACTAAAACTCAAATCTTTTTGATTACGTCGAGAGTTCTATTTACAAAGCTATACGTGCTAATAACAATTTTCCAATTAATAACGGGTACCATCTTTTTCTCTCCGTGCACTTATCCAGAAAAACCGAATTATCTTTGTCGTATTCGTAAAAGTAAAGCCATTGCAGATTCATTATTTTCTTTTAAACAAATAAAATTTTCAAAAGAAACGCTCTGCTAGAAAATAGATATTCAAATAATATATCGAAAACAGAGACTTTTTTTTATAAAATTTTCAATTGTTTAGGAGATATTAACGAACATGTAATAACTGGGAACGCCTCTTAAGGGAGATAGCCACTGTGAAATTTGAAAAAAAAAAAAATTTTTTTTTAAATCAAAGTTTATATATTCAAAAATATGTATCTCGAGTTTTATAGGAAAATGCCCAATATTTTTCGAGTTAAAGTCATTTTTGTAACAGTGTGTTACTTCGCCGTCCATCTTACGGCAACAAATAAATATATTATTTTGTGAAATTAAGTTAATGAGATGGAACAAATTCTCCCACCCATGGATTTTCTGAAAGTACAGTTTCTGATGAACAGAAACGTACTACACAGAAAAAAAAGTCATCTTGACTCAAGAAAATCTTTTTCTTCAAAATTTACTTCTTGTTTCAAGTTCTTGTTTATTCTTGAACTAATAATGTCATATACTTATCCCAAGTAAATCTTTCTCTTGGTTTGGAAAGTAGCGCCAACGTTGGCGACGTGATTTTTTGGAACTAAACCGAGATTTTTTTAATAAAAAATTAAATTTAAAAAAATAACCTTATGCATGATTTTTATTGTTTGTGTTCATTCAATTAGACATTTTTAATTAATTTTTAACTTGCTGATTTCCCATTATATTACTGATTTACAGATAAGTGTGTAGTGACGAAAATATTTGTATAATAAGTATTCGCTCGACTCATACAAAGTACACGGTAAGAAATTTGTTGCGTTAATAACTTAATAACTATAAGTGATATCGACAATCAGAAAAAAAGATCCTTAAAGAGGAGGAAATTTATGAAAAAAAGTCTCGACTCCCGGAACTCTAGCTCCATAAACAATAATTTTTATTTAATGTTGAAAATGGGTTTCCGCGCGGCTGCTGTCCTACTCAGGCCTCGATACGCCCGTGTGTACATGAAGCAAGTTCAAAAACCAAGAGAATGATTTACTCGGATTAAGAGGTTTTTTTCTTCACTCAAGTTGGTAAGCATGTTGGAACTAGGGAATATTTGCTTAAACCAAGATTGACCAAAACAAGAAAAAAATTTACTTAACTCAAGAATATATTTTATCTTCAGTTGAATATACTTGGATCAAGTAAATATTACTTGACTCAAGATGACTTTTTTTTCTGTGTATAGATGTAGATTTACAAGCATGTTTGCACAACAATCACATGCTTGTAAAAGTGGACCATTTCTGAACTCCGCCGTCCATCTTACGGCAACAATAGTATATTACACCCCTAGGGAAGTAAAGTAAGAAAGGTTTCAGATCACATGTAAAACAGATCAAACATGTGATCTGAGGTTTTCTTTTAGGTAGATTTCATAAAATCTATCTATTGCATTGGACCTTGTGTCAAAATTCACACAGAATTTCGTTACTATATCAATAATTTAGTCGAATATGGCTGAAAAATGACGTTGGTTTGGAAGTTTATTTATGTATGTATATTTTATATTTATGTAATATAACGCACAGCTTGTGGACATGATACCTCCCACAATTCTTAATGAATCTTCATGAAATTTGGTAGACTTATTTTATAGACAATTAGCTTGGATGAGTTCAAAAATGAGCTGAATCCATCAAATAGAAATAGTTTAGAAATGGTAGCCGTTTGAAATTTTCGAAAATACAAAAAAATCACAAGTTTGGTGACTTTACTAGGGAATAACTTTTCATTGAGAAATGATAGGTCGTTTTTCTGCATTTTATTTTAAAGCTTATAAAATTCTCTTTAATTTAACCTATAATAAATTTACTTTTCATCAATTACACGAAAACTTTAAGAAGCTGGAAGCTGAATGTCATCTGAATCAGTTTCAGAAAAGCACACAACACAACGCGGCTTGTGGAGACGATAACTCCCACAATTCTTAATGAATCTTTATGAAACTTAGTAGACTAATTCTATAGACAATTAGCTTGGATGAGTTCAAAAGTGAGCTGAACCTGTCAAATAGTTTAGAAATGGCAGCCATTTGAAATATTCGAAAATCTAAAAAATCACTGTATTTTAAAATTTGGCAGCCGATTTACTTTTCTCATAAACTTGAGGAATAATAACACCGGCCCATAAAAAAAAAAAGTGCTCTGTACTTTTGACCGGACCTACCTATCTTTATGTATTTCGACGCGCTGAATCTGAATCTGAAGTCAGTTTTGCCCATACACCCTCAAAATTTTAAGTAAAATGCAAAAAACCCCAAAAAAGGCAAACAATTGCGAAAAACTGCAGTCACAGCAATGAAAAAATTTTTTTGGACCTAGATCACGTATGATTTTTATGTATTTCAATTCACAAAATCTGAATCTAAACGTTTAGAAGCTCCTTGAGCCGTCAAAATTTGAAAAAATTGCAAAAAACTCAAAAAAATTGCAAGAAATCATGAAAAATCGAAATTATCGAGATTAAAAACATTTTTTGGATTCAGATTGAGTATGACTTTCATGTACTTTGTTCATATGCATAAAAATCATACGTGATCTAGGTCCAAAAAAATTTTTTCATTGCTGTGACTGCAGTTTTTCGCAATTTTTTTACCTTTTTTGGGGTTTTTTGCATTTTACTCAAAATTTTGAGGGTGTGTGGGCAAAACTGACTTCAGATTCGGATTCAGTGCGTCGAAATACATTAATATAGGTAGGTCCGGTCAAAAGTACAGAGCACTTTTTTTTTTTGTGGGCCGGTGTAATTATTTATGATATTGTTATTAAAATCATGGATTACATGAAATCTACCTTCCATCTTGGCTGGTGCCAAATGGCCTTTTTTTTTACTTCCTAAAGGCAGTATATTATTTTTTTGTCCGAGGAAGGCAGAAAGCGACAACTTTATTTAGCGCAGCGGGACGAAAGTTGCCACTTTCCGCCCGGAGGGCAAAAAACTATTTTTTTTAACTGGTGCGAACTGTAATTTGCATAAATAAGTACCGATTTGCAACTTTTTTTCTTCCCGTATTCGTCTATTCAGTAGCTATCGTTGCGCGTAGGGGATTTTAAAAATTTTGATTTTTATGATTTTTTGGGACTGTTTGAATCCAAAAAAATTAGAAAAAAAAAAACAAAAAAATTTTTAATATGTCGCCATTTTTTTTAAATCTAAATTTTCAAAATCCCCTACGCGCAACGATAATGACATGCATGCAGATTACAACGCTGTTTCGTTTTTTCGTTTTAGATAATCCGTTTTTGAGTTAGAGTTCGCAACGTGGTGGGGGAAATTTTTTTGGTCCTCCACAAAAATGCTAATTACTTTATAACAACATGATATTTTTTAATAAAAATTTAGGAGAATATTCTTTATGACTTTATGTATACTTTATAAAACAAAAATAACCCGATCCCCAAATTCCTTTATTATCCCAGTCAAAAAAATTCCCGAAAATCACCTATTTTTTCGATCCTCGCAGTGGCTATCCCCCTTAAGTAAATTTACTATTAGATGAATTACGAAACATTCAGATCAATATTCGAAAACCAAGTTTTCAATAGATATCAAAATTTGTGACCTTTGTAAAAAGCTATTTTAACTATTTTCAAGATAATATGAACGCTCGCTTGTGTTATGTATATGTGTGAGCAAATCCCCTTATATTATTGAGGATGGAGAGTTCGAATAATTAATTTTATATTGCTGTACGGCTCGGAATTTTTGATAAATGATTCTCTCGTGACAGATATTATCAGGAAAGGCTGCAACTGAGGAGCAATATGAAATGCTATCAATTTTTTTTTCTAATACGACATAGTGGAACTTGAGCTATTCGTATTTTCGTATAGATTTTTTACCTATTGAATAGTAGAATTATCCGATTCATCGATCATTTCTGATATTTTTAATGCTCTGATAATATCTTCTAGAATGACAGTTGCCAATACTTTCATCTAATTAATATTTTTGTTTTAACATCCATGCATTGCTTTCAGTGATCAACATCACGAATTTTTATTATACATATTAGAGCATTGGAATCAGCAGTTAGTTGATTTTGAGTACTCTTTATGTGACTATGTTTTTTAACCGGATGAATGAAATTGTTTGAAAATAAATTGACAAAGTAATCTAAAATCTTGTGCACTGATAGAAGGATTTATTTGTACCAAAAAACATTTGTTGATAATTAACAAATCATTTATTAGAGACCACTTTTTAGTATTAAACAAATATTTCTTAGTATTTAAAATGATTTGTTTGTATTTAATAAATCTGATGTTGATTTATTAAATATTAATAAATCTTTTTAAATACTAAGAAATATTTATTAAGGACTAAAAAGTGGTCTCTAATAAATGATTTGTTAAATATTAACAAATATTTGTAACTATAAACAAATCCTTCTATCAGTGTGAATTTTCAGATTTAAGACATAAAATTGCTGTCGAATAAAAAATGATCATTTACTATAAAATTAAAAGCTTAATTTTTGACTATATATATTTATATATTTAAATATATATATATTTCAGGAAGCAATGGAAATTCAAGATGGATTAAATCCTATCAAGCTCTCCATTCAACACTTTAATACAAATGATAAACTACCCGAAAATAAAACAGGTTTGTCGTGATGATATTAAGAATAACGTACAAAATATAAGTATTATTTCGATATGTTTAAATGCGTTTACAAAGTATAATTTAAAAAAATAATGGCTACACATTTGATCTAAAGATATAAACACAAACATCTATATTTCAGCAGCTAATTATCGCATAGAAAATTGAAGAGCGGTTTTATAATCTTCCATCAATTATCTATAAGAACCTGTCATGGTTTTTTAAGAAAAAAATTTCTTTTATCCTTCACATAAACATGAGTATTCTGTTTTTATGTAGAATGTCGCGATACCATAAATAATACAAAATACTGCAAACTTCAATAACTACTCACATTTTTTTTATAATATTCAAATATTCATGGATGAAAAATGCTTTTGATTAATTTTTTATTTTTCCAGAAAGTAATAATCAGTCTGCTGAAAAACCAGTGTCAAACAGGTAACTAATTAAATCTATTAAAAGTACATTTGATATTTATTTTTTTTTTTCCGTTTAAAAATTTTTTTCCCACCCTTACAATATTTTTTACGGAGAAACGTTTTATGTCTATTTCTCATACTGATAAAATTTTGATTTGCCACTCTTATAATATATTTTGTCAAACTCATCGTTTAAATAAACATTTTTAAAACCAAGTAAACTACTATTTAATGCAAATTAAATATTTAAACTGCGCGCTGTACGCGTGCGCTCTAATCCTAGTCAATAATTAATTAGGGTCCATTTTTTGCCATGTTTCGATAATTTCGATACTGAACTAACTTCAATTCAATCATGAATTTTATTATTTTCATAATAATAATAATAATAATAATAATAATAATAATAATAATAATAATTTAATAATAATCACAATATAATATATGACACGAATATAATAATAAAATAAAACAGAGGATTATAAGGATTATTACATTAACTTTCAGAACTATCCGTGTGTTATTAATCTTATAAAATTTATAAATGAATGATAAGAAGTTATATTTTCATGTTCTAAAAATTGAAAAACGAAATTGTAAATCGGTAATCGTTTAGATGAGAGTTCTACCGTTTTTCGATTTTAAAATATCGAAGAATAGAGTTATCGATAACTTTTTCTTTCTTAATTTTCTTCTTTACGATGGACTTACGATCCATTCATTAAAAATTTATAAAATTCTATAATTCTATTTTTTTGTCGTTTGGAGAGCTTATAAAAACCTACTTGTATTGCTTTTTATTGAAATTTTCAAGGGATCAATTTGTAAAGTACTATTCTATTTTTGTTTAAAAAGCATAAAAAACTGAACAAATTGAAAAATAAATTTTTATGTTGTCAATTTTAATAATTCTACAAAATAATGAAAAATCGACGTATTGATTAACAATTTTTAATAAATTAATTTATTTTTTTCCTAATTATTTTATTTTCTAATGCAGAATATGAACGATATTGTTATAGTATTGAGTAATTATCGCATTTTATTTAAATTGTTGATCGAACGTTGAAATTTATAAAATTTTCAAAAATTCATAAAAACATTTTAAATAATGATGTCATGGATTTTTTTTCTTTCCATTTTTTCAGTTGTCTATGCTTTTTAACGAAAAAAATAGTATGGTAGCCTAAAAATTTAAAACAAATAAAAATATGAAAAAAATTAGGAAAACTGTTGACCCTGAAGGCCATCCCTGCAACTTCCCGCTAATTCCATACCTAGGCGCTTAAAATTGCACTTATGATGTTTTTGAGCTCTTCGAGCTCAAAAATGCAATTTATGTGTTACTTTGAGCTCCCCGAGCTCAAAGAGATAGCTGTCTTATGCTTTTGAGCTCTTCGAGCTCAAAAGTCTGATGTAAGTTTCGTAGAACACTATTTTTTGAATTTTCAAACCGCAATAACTTTTGAATGAATTAACCTGATTCTCACCGAACTAACCGTTTTTCACGCGGTTAGCGGCATTCAACGCAGTTTTTTAAGCCTCATCAAGAATCTTTAAGTTTCAATTGATCGAACTAAGAATTTCAGAGTATTTCGGTTTTCTTTCGTTCACGATATCTCTCGAACGAATCAACCCATTTTGAACGGCTTTTATTCACGATCGACGTGGGTTTTTGATGTTAAAAGCTGATTAGTTTTTGGAATCGATCGGTAAAACCGTTTAAAAGTTATTCCAAAAAAACCACATTTAAAAAAAATTTCTTTTGTAGATTTTTTGAGATTTCTCAAAATCTAGAGAACTGAATCGATTCAAATTTTTACGAAATTTAATGGCAATGATACTCTTTGGATCGCTACCTATCTCGATCTGATCGGTCGAGCCGTTCAAAAGTTATAAGTTATCTAAATAATTACTAAAATAATAATTTATCCCTCAAAAGTGTTTGTTAAACAATTATTAATGCTTTTGAATATTTAAAGGCCGAAGTTTCGCAAAAATGGTCACGATATTCAGATTCAGTGGAGTATAATACATAAGATAAGACTTATTTAATCTACTGACCTCAAAATTATACGAAAAGGTAGTACCATTGCTAGAATAAAAACGCATACTCAGATATCCTTTAATTTTCGGTATATATATGAAATAGAAAACTTTTTTGTAATTGACCTTGCATGCGCTCCCCCCCCCTTTTAGTTTGAATCATACAATAAGATTCGTTTCCATAAAGAAAGGGCTCAAGAAATTGTAGAAGGGGACAAGCGCATTACATACAGTAGGTATATTATGCTTTATGAGTCATCGTCACTCTCATAATTTTGCAGTAGGCTGCAATCAGTTGAAGCCCTATTCGGAAATTCTGTGTCCTTTAATCAGAAAAAGGTTAAGGTCATGCTGATCAGTACATTTTCGAACACATTGAGCTTGAAAATGAAGTCTGTTAGTCAATTATTGTGTAAATTTTTTTTTCTAGTTAAATTTTAATGTCAACTTTCGTAATAAACAACAATAATTGACTCTTCTTATAAATAAATAGTAATTATTTACTAAGTAATAAAAGATTTCTTGCTAAAAATATAATAAATTTTGAGATTATAGTTAAGTTAAAATAAATATCTTATTAAATTAAAAGGAGGTCCTTTCACCGCCAATGTAAAATAAAAAATATTAGATTATGAGTAAATTAAATTTTTTTCTAATAGTTGAAGTCCTTATTTATCTAATAGTGAGGTTTAAATTATACTTTACCGGACAAATTTTTGAAAAAATAAAATTTTTAAATTTTAGTATTTGTTCAGAGGCTTACGAGAAAGTCAGACGTTTGCAGTATTTCTCGAATTATACTATCAGTCATGGATTAGACGAAGTAAAAAAAAA